TGGTGGGGAGAAGGCGACAGGAGCGCCCCTCAGGATCCTGTGCCCCCACCGCCCCACTCACCATTCCCAGGCACACTGGGACTGTGGCGGCTAATGTCACTGAGTCCCCCCCCGCAGGAGACGGCGCCCTGGGCAGGTGCTCGGGGCCTCGGCTCTGGCTCATGCAGGGAGGCCCCGGTGGAAGGTTCTGGCTCAGCCTCCAGTCTCACCTGTGTGGGACCGAATCACACTCCAGGAAGCCCCCCTCACCTGTGGTGTCTACTGCACTGTGAAGTAGGGATTGTGGCATGGCACCCTGGAAACTGAGGGGACCCACAGGGAGCCCCTGCTGAAGCAGAGGTCGACCTGAGCACCCCTCATGGGTTCGGGAGGGTTTTGGTGGGGAAGCCCCGTGCGTGCAGACGTCTGAGGTAGGGAGCCCTGCAGGGGGACACCCAGGGCTGGGCTTCCTCAGAAGCAGGAGTGGGGCGCCTGAGGAGGGGAGCCCGCCAGGCTCTCCCTGGAAGCCGGCTCCTGGGGTCCCTCCTACTACCCTGCCCCTGCCTCCTGTCAGGGGCCACAGCTGTGTGTCCAGAGCTGGAATCTCAAGATGTTACTGTTGTGCAAACAGAAAAGGACTCGGCCCTTTCGGGGCGCTGGCAGAGACCCCGACTGTGCCTAGGCATGCAGCGTTCCGGGTCACAGCAGCACTGAGATCCTACTCTCTGGACCCATGCACCCCCGTTCCCGGAAACAGGCATTGAACCCCGCTCAGGATGGGGCACAGGCTCCGAGTGCGGGGTCTGCCCCTGAGGGCCCCCGCCTTATAACACAGGGCATTGCCTGGGCCATTCCGACTAAATGGACCTGCTGTTTACTGTCCTGGCAGTAAAGGTCGTTGTGGAAATGTCTTTACTGTGCTGTACACTGACGGGTCTGACGAGAACACCAAGCGGGACAGGGGCCGGGGCGTAGGAGAGACTTTAAAGACCTTTGCCTTGGGCGCAATGGTCCGTTCGGGGTCAGACTAGCATGCGCGGTCCTGGGCACCCGCACCCGTGGGAACCTGAGCCGCCATGGGAGCATGCGCCTCGTGTTAGTGTGCGCGGTACTGGGAACGTGCGCGGCACTGGGAACGTGCGCGCCTATGGGAGCGTGCGCGGCCGTGGGAGCGTGCGCGGCCGTGGGAGCGTGCGCGGCCGTGGGAGCGTGCGCGCCTATGGGAACCTGAACCGCCATGGGAGCATGCGCGCCCGTGGGCCCGTGGGCTGCCGAAGGAGCGTGCCCACGCGTGCACGAGTCCCGTGTACGAAGTACTGTGTGTGTGAGGAGAAAGGGCCACATCCCTGTCCAGGGTGCTGGTTGGCGCCTGGATTTTGGGGAGGCCGCGTGGTGTCATGTCCCTCGTCCTGGGTGGCACCCAGGAGCTTGGTCACTGGGAGGCCTCGGAGGGCACCCTTGGCCTGACAGGTCCCCTCCCTGGGCAGGGGACCTCAGAAACCCAAATCCCGCGTCCGGAAGCGCCTGCGGGTGATACGGCTGAGGAAGGGGCCAGGCGGGAGAGGAGCTGCCGCGTCGCCCGGGCCTGGCCGCTCGAGCCTGTCGGCGTCTGTCACCGGCCGAGGCGGCAGCAGGTGCCCGGGGTCCTGCAGGTCACAGCAGAGGGCGCGGGGGTGAGGGGGATGGGAGGGGTGGGGTGTCCGGTCACCCACAGTCGGCCGCCGCCTGCCCGGGGGGCACAGCAGAGGTGACCCCAGAGTAACACCGCCCACCACATGGAATCATTCCAGTTCAGAATCCCCAGATCCGGCATTGTCACCCCAGTGTCTTCCACATGCAATCCAAAGTCCCCTAATGCCCCTAGAATGCTTCCCCAATTCGCAGCCGAACCCCTCACAGACTGTCTCCAAGTCTTCTGCTCATGCCCAGAGGCCGTGGGTGCACACCCCGGAACACCTCCTGTGTTCAGCTGCGCGGGACAGCGGGTCACCCGCCCACACTGGCTGCTGTCCAGCTCGGCCCTCCGCGTCTCCGCCGGGTCGCAGCCCCTCACCCCCCTCGCGCCCTTCACGGGGCGGCTCCGCGGACTCCCACGTGGTTCCGGGCCCGAAGGCAGCGCCACCCGCCCCGCCCCACCTTGGGCCTTTCCCCTGCCGCTGGCCCCCTCCGGCTGTGCGCCCTCCCCCGCCCCTGCCCCCGAAGTCGGGTTTCGCCGTTGTGTTGGTTTATTGCCATCAGTTTCCTGCTTCGCTCTGCGCCTTCCGCGTGAGCGTGACCGGCCGCCTGTCTCCTGCCCGCGGCTCCCCAACCGCCCATGGCCCGCGGGCCGCAGCGGCAGAGTCCGCCGGGTGGGCCCTGAGCAGGTGCCGTTGCGGGCACCCTCTGCTGCCCACCCCCAAGGGGGGTCCGTATATCGGACCGCAGAAGTCGGTGCACGCGGAGCGCCCGGACCCCGAGTGACCGTGTCGCCTTCTGGGCAGAGTCCGGCTGGGGCGTGGCGCGGGAGGCAGGTGGACTCCTGTGTCCTGAGACGTCCTTGGTGCTCTTCCCGAGGGCCGGGGTGAGGTTGGGAAGTGCGGGACGGGTCATGCCAGCGACCCGAGGCCCCACCCCCGTGGCCAGGCGCCGCCGTGCCCCGCGCTGACCCAGACTGCGGAGTCGCTGACTTGGACAGCGTGGAGCAGGCAGAGGGGTGCTTCCGGGCTCCCCGTGACGGCTTCTCATCGCCCCTCACCCTGTCCAGGTGCGGGGGAGGGACACGGGGTCGTGACTCTGGCTGAGCCAGTCGCTGACCCACAGCTGGCCGTGGTGCGGGCCGGGGCGTGACCACAGCAGGCAG